TCTGCAGGGTGAAAGAGGGCATCCAGAACAGCTGCAGACCCTGGCAGCACTAGTGAACAAGTGAAACGTTTCATCTCTTTGTTGCTCGTGTGCCTCAGGTAGCTCTACCAGCGGAACATTCTAGAACTACTCTGACATCACTCTAGGTCAGAGGAAGCTCCAGGTCTGCAGTTTTCTTCTTGCCTTTCCAAAACAGAGTGAAACGGTTCACAAAATTTGTACTTCAAAGGACCGAAACAGGACATGTGAAGCAACCACAATGAATTATCAATCTCCCTCATTTTACATTTCTGACAGATATCTATATATCTATCTATCTATCTAGATATATATTACTTGCTAATTAAAAGAAAATCTGGAATTTGGGAAATTCACAAATTGTTTAATAAAAATATAGCACCTAGCAGAGCCTAGGAGCAAGTCAGACTCACAGCTCCCAGCTTCAGAGTACACAGAACTATGGAAAACTAATTACTTTACTAGTCACATCCCCAGAGCTAGGCTTTGATGGGTGAGATCCTGAATGTTCAGAGAGGGCTATTCCAAGTTCACAAGGTGCATGAAAAAGGAAAATAACCAAATATTAGCTACCACATGTTTTTGGTATCCTTCAAAAGTAAAAATGTTAAGTATTTCTAGTGACAAGATAGCTGATAAAGTTCCGTGAAGGAAAACTGTTCCCAACATCTCAGTGTTATCTTTTAGCCTTTCTTGCCATTTCACATTCACTAATTAGACTCACAAAACTCCTGCCATTTAGAGAAAACTGTCTGTGTGACAAATGTGGGGAACTGAAACACGGGACAAGCTAAGGGCAGGTTTGTCTGCCACGATGCAGTGCTGTATTAGAAAACCCTAAGGAGAAAAGCTGGTTCAGCAAACATACTGGTCTGGATCTTAAAATTAGCCCAGCTAATCAGTCTGGTCTCTCAGCAGGGTCCGTTAATCTATGTACAGAGCTGTGCTAAAATGGCAATATGCCTCTGGTTGTTCCAGATTTGCTCCCTGGTATCATGCAGGTGCACTCTAAATTACCTGCCTGGTGTCTGGTCAGTGAGTTGAGTGTGGGCTTTCCCTGTGTCCCAAGCAAATACTTTTACCCCTAACTAGCCCATTCTTCTTATATCTTTACAGTAAACCAACTGCAGCAGATAAAACCATGATCTAACCCTGTTAATCTTATAGATGCAAATGTGGACAATGTATTTATAACACAAAATTATCAAATTGCTCCTCAAGCAGCAACTTGATCCTCCTCCCAGAGGCCGAGCCCTCTTACTCTAAAATACTGTATTAAATGTTGGTGTTATGGTCCTTCAGGAATCCCAGGCTCCAGAGACCAAGGTGAGAGTAGGGAGCAAAGATGTACCCTTGGTGAAGGAGGATCAGGTCAGGGAATACTTAAGCAAATGGGATATATGTAAGTCCACTGGCCTTGATGGGATGCACCCACAAGTGCTGAGGGAGATGGAAGATCTCATCACAAGGCCACTCTCCATCATCTGTAAATGATCATGGTAACTGGGAGAAGTGCCCAAGGACTGGAGGAAAGCAAACACCACTCCTAACTCCAAGAAAGGAAGAATAGAGGATGCCAGGAGTCAGCCTTGCCTTGATCCCTGAGAAGGTGATGGAGCAGCTAAGCCTGGACACTTTGAGGAACAAGGTGATCAGTCACAATCAGGAGGGTTTCACCAAAGACAATATAAACTCATACAATGAAATTACTGGTTTGGTAGACAAGGGGAGAGCAGTGGACATTGTCTGCTGAGACTTTTGACACTGTCTGCCATCAGATCCTCATGGAGAAGCTGATGAAATATGGGCTGGATGAGCAGACAGTGAGGTGGATTGAAAACTGGCTGAGCAGCTGGACCCAGAGGGTGATGATCAATGGCACAAAGACTGATAGAGGCCTGTAACTAGTGGTGACCCCAGGGGCCAATACTGGGTTCAATCCTGTTCAACAGCTTCGTTAATGATCTGGATGGTGGGGCAGAGTGTACCTTTGGCAAGTTTCCTGGTGACACAAAATTGGGAGGCATGGCTGACACAGCAGGGAGTTGTTGTGACATCCAGAGGGCCGTGGACAGGCTGGAGAAATGGGCTGACAGTACCTTGCAAAGTTCAGCAAGGGGACCCATGAAGTCCTGCACCCAGGGAGGAACAACTCCAGTCACCAGCACATGCTGGGGGCCAACTGGCTGGAAAGCAGCTTTGTGGAAAGGACCTGTGGGTCCTGGTCAACTGCAAATTTAATATGAGCCAACGAATATCCTTCCAGCAAAGAAGGCCAATAGTATCCTTGACTGCATTAGGAGGAGTGCTGCCAGCAGGCTGAGGGGAGTAAATCCTTCCACTCTACTCAACAGGGGTGAGACCACACCTGAAACGCTGTGTCTCCACTGAAGAGAGTCCAGTGAAACACCACTAAGATGATTAACGGGCTGGAGCATCTCTCATATGAGGAAAGGCTGAGGGAATGGGGCAGGGGGGAAAGAGAGGTCTCATGGAGGGGATTTTAAAATGTCTGAAGGGATGGTGAAAAGAGGACAGAGTCAGGCTCTTTTCAGTGGTGCCCAAGTGACAGAATGAGACACAAGGGGCATGAACTGAAACACAGGAGGTTCCCTCTGGACATAAGGAGAAATTTCACTGTGAGGGTGACCAAGCACCAGAACAGGTTGTTCAGAGAAGTTGTAGAGTCCAGGGAGATATTCAAGAGCCATCAATCTGGCCATGGTCCCGGACAGTGGGCTCTGAGTGGCCCTGATTGGAATGGGGGGCTGGACCATCTGACCTCCAGAGGTCCTTCCATCCACAACCATTCTGTGATTCTGCCTTGCACTCCCCTCCCTTTTTTCTTACCTTTGCTTCTAGCCATGAATGTGCTTGAAAATGCCCAGCAAACAAGCATTTGCTCTCTGGTCTGTGAGCCTACATGGCTTCTGCGCCTCATCACCTGCACCTGCACAGCTCCCACACCAGAGCCAGCACTGTGGGGTTGGTAATTCCCCTCTGTGATCCACAGCACACACTCCAGGGGGCTGGAATTCCAGTTTCCAGCTGCAAAAATATCTTTCTGCCGTTAAAAAGGCCAAAGCCCAAGCAGAGCAAGAAATTACAATGACGCTTCACTACAGCCTCAAAGACGGGTTGTTTTAGCACATGGATTGGAAAAAAAAATTCAGGTGAGGTTCTTTGGATGGGAGCTGCCAGGGATAAACATAGACAGAGCAGGCAAAAAAAGGCAGTAAAAAAATGAGGGCACAAATAGTGATAAGCTGATAAGGCAGCACTCTGAAAACCAAACAGGAACTTACTGAAAATGAACGTGGCAAAAATAAATAATTCTGGAACTTTTATTTACTATCAAAACACAATTTCCTCTCCTTTATCACAAACCTCCTACTGATAACAACAGTCATTCATCAGTCTGCAGAAAGTGCTTAGTCCTGAATTGATGTTCCAGGCTGCAGATCACAATGAGACACAGAATTGGGTTTTTTCCTTCTTCCAGTGAGTTTGACATCCTGAGCAGAGGAGATCAGGAGGCACTGGGAGGAAAAGGGAAGCTCATGTTCACCCTTCCATAGGAAGCAGAGGGGAAAAATAAATGTCCAGTAATCTCCTTGGCTGTTCCCTCAGCCTATGAAGGCTGATCCCAGACTCCCAAGTGTTATCCTGACATGTAAAGGGGGGCCTTCCTGGAATACTTGCTTGGTACTGAGGGGAAGCGTGGCAATTTCATCCATTGGGATTCATAATTTTGCCTCAAACTAGCTGAGTAAACCTCAGCCTCCTGAACACAAAGATTATATGATCTTCCTTTTTGGGGGAGGAAGCCAGGCCCATCTGTAGCCAACCCACCATGCCCTCAAGTGACATTAAAAGGGTTATTTATGTGTGCAAAGACACGCAGAGCTCTTCACATGACTTTTCATTTGCAGTTGTTGCTTAGTTTTAAAACGGCATCACTCAGTATGGAAGGGGAAACCTTTTGCTGCATGAAAAACAACAAAAATTATTATATTTGATACCTGTGTCTTCACTCTCCCTACTGAAACTCCCCTTTTAGCCCATCTTTGGGAGCGCTCTTTTTGTCCCATTCTGCCCCGGGGTTTGGTGAGAAGCACCAGCTCAGAGAACACCCACCCCCTGCCCACCCCGAGCCCCTCTTACCCCAGGGCATCAGGAGCCCACCCAGAGCCTCTCTACCCCTGGGGCATCAGGGGCCCACCCAGAGCCCCTCTACCCCCGGGGCATCAGGGGCCCACCCAGAGCCCCTCTATCCCCCGGGGCACCAGGCATCCATTCCAAGGGCACAAGGCATCCATCTCGAACCCCTCTCATACCCAGGGCACCAGAGATCCACCCTGAACCCCTCTTACACCTGGGGTACCCAGCACCCACCACGGAGCCTCTCTACCCTCCTCCTACCTCCGGGCACCAGGCATCCACCCCGAACCCCTCTTATCCCCGCATCACCAGGCGCCCACCCCGAGCCCCTCTACCCCCGGGGCATCAGGAGCCCACCCCAAGACCCTCTTAGCCCCCGGGGCACTGGGCGCCCACTCCAAGCCCCTCTACCCCCCTCTACCTGCGGCCACCCCGTATCCACCCCGAGCCCCTCTTCACCCGGGATACCAGGCGCCCACGACGAACCCCTCTACCCCCTTGTATCTCCGGGAACCAGGCATCCGCCACGAACCCCTCTTACACCCTGGATACCAGGAGCCCACCCCAAGACCCTTTTACCCCCAGGGGGCACCGGGCGCCCACCACGAGCCCCTCTACCCCCCTCTACCCCAGACACCCACCACCGCAAGCCCATCACCCCCCGTCCCCTCCCCTCAAGCCATCCCCGGGGCCGTCTCCGTGCCCGGGCTCCCCCCGCACCGCCCCGGGGCGGGGACTGCGCCGTGGGCGGGCGGGGCCGGCGGCGCGTCCCGGGGCATCCGATCGGCCGGTCCCTGCTCCGCCCGCGGGTCGAGCCCAGCGCGGGGCTGCGGCCGCCGCCGAGCGCTCGGCGGAGAGGGCTCCGGAGCCGCGGCCCCCATTATGCTCAGCCATGGCGTGGCTGCCGGGCGAGCTGGCCGAGCTGCGCTGGGGCGCGATGGTCGCCCTGTTCGTGGCGGCGCTGGCCACGCTGGCCGTGTACCTGGTGCAGTACGCGCTGCTGGCGCTGCGCCGCCGCCGCCGCCGCCGCCGCCCGCCGCCGCCTCTCCCGGCTCCCGCCGCTCCCGGCCCGCGGGACGAGCTGCTGGACGAGGGCGGCTCGGTGCTGGCCTGGGCGCTGTCGCGGGGCAGCTGGAGGCGGCAGTGGTGGCGGGCCTGGGTGGCCGCGCTGCGGGCCGAGGCGGCGGAGCGGGCGGTGAGTGCCGGGGATGCAGGTGAGGGAGGGATGGGAGAGGGGGGGATGCCCGGGCGGGATGCTCCGGGCGGCGCCCCGCGCTCGCCGGGATGGGAGGGACGCGGCTCCGGGCTGTCCCGGGCTCCTAGGGACGCTGCGATTTGCTCCAGGGATAAACCAGGGTGCTGCCGGCGCGTTCCTGCCCCTCCGTGTGTTTGTGTATTTACACGTGTGCGTTTGGTGGCTGCTTGGCAGGGGTTTGCAGGAAGGAGCCGGGCAGAGGCACGGGATGGGCGCACGCGTGGGAGCTGGGAAGGATGGGGAGAAAGGGAAGCCGCGACCCCCGCAGCCCCTGGCAGGGGTTCGCACCGCCGATAACATTGTTCGGGCGTGGGGAGGAGGAAACAATGGAAACTTCCTGGCCTGGGCCTGCGGCCCGTCCTTCGGCAAATAATTCCCATAGCTGGGCTTCCCCAGTGTTGCCTGAGGCCCTGCTGAACCCGTGTGTGTGTGTAGTGTAACTCCAAAGGCTGGCGTCCCTCAGACCCGCTGGGTGGTGGGATGCTCGGGGTTTGGTCAGTTTGCTTTTAACCTGGGTCAGGGAGGATGGCAATCCTTCCCATCCCAACCTGCCCTTCCCGCAAAGGGCACAGCGTGGGATCCTGCTCCTTGGTGTGTAAGGGTATGCCTGGGTCTAAGAGGCGAGGAGCTTAGGCGAGGCTGTGGCAACCTGATTTCCTTGTCCTGAGGACTGAATCCTTGTCGTGTCAGTGAAAAATGCTGAGGCTAAACTGTCTAGGAAGCAGCATGTCCCCAGGTCTCCAAATTTCCTTGCATCCCTCTCCCTGGGGGAGACTTCTTAGACCTAGGAGGTTCCGTTCTTGCACGCCAGGGAGCAGGCTGGGGAAGAAGGAAGAGTGGGGCAACATGTGTGTATGAAAGATAAGGAATATAAATTTAACACTTTCCAAATACCGCTGTGAGTTAGGGCAGTGGGAGGAAAATACTTCGTCCGCCCTTTCAAATTGCACGAGGAGAAAAGCAGGGGCTGTGCTGAGAAATGAAGGTTTGCCCTGCACTTGTGGAAGAGAAGAGCCCAGACAGCTCGGGCACAGGTGCTGGGAACTGAAAGTGAACCGGGCACAAGTGGCAGCTTCGCGTCCCTGCGTGGGGACCGAAGCCGCTCTGACAGGGACACGCACACCCTCCCTGCCCGGGCGAGCAGCTGGAGCGCCGAGTTCCCCGCCTGGCACTGCAGCGTGGCCGTGCTCCCGCTGTCAGGCTCCCAAAACAATGTCAGCGGCACGCAGCTAATGAAATTCCTGCGTGCGGAACAAGGCCGGGTGACGAGGGGAGCGGGGCTGCCGGCTCGGTGCGGGGAGCAGGTGGGGAATGCAGCGCTGATGCTTCTGAAAGTATGACCTCACTGCCAAAACCCTGCCTTCCCCTCGCTGCCTGCGTGGAGGCTGGGTGGCTGTCGGCGCTGCCTCCCGTCACAGGCAGGGAGGACTGGGGAGGGGAAGCCTTCTTTCCTCACCTCTGAAAGATGATATTTGGGGTTTCTTAGTTTTGGCACAGCCTAGTGCAGCCGTATTATTAGGCCAAAGCAAACAGGCCTTTTCAAACTGCAGCACTGATAAATCCTTACTCAAGAGGAGCAGTTTCACTGGACTCGGTTGCTTTGCTCTGCACTGTGCTGTTGTGCACCTTGGTATTCTGCTGCAGAGAAAGATGAGTTATGATTAGGCCCATGGTTATGTCCTAAGTATATGTTTTCAGGCTCTACCCTATATTATGTAGTGAGGTGTCATGCAATTAATACATAGAAGTTTTGACATACATTTGCAATTCTGGTGCATTTTTTATCGCTTGTTTTCAAGCAGTGGCTTTGTCACCTAATGATGGTTCTTTTTTGTCTTCTTTCTCAGGATTCTCAGTTGCTCACGTTTGAGGAAGATGACCAACCAGAACCACTTGAGCTGGCAGTTAAAGAAGTTATTAGTGTTGTAAAGTCAGCTGAAGAGAAGGTAAACTTTGGATTCGTTGTGTTCCGGTGTACTTTGGGGCAGGAAATGTTACCTTTTATTAGCATAGGTGGGAGCTTTATTTGTCAATACTCCTGTACCCTTGCCCTGCGTTTGCAGGGGCTGGTAAGAGGCTGCCTCTCTAATAAACCTCTGCATTAATTCACTTCTTTTGCAAGTCACAAGCAGAAGGTGCTCCAGGGCTTCTACCAAATGAACAATAACCAGGGTTATGGCCCTCAATGAGCTCACAGAGCAGAGACCTCTCCCTCACCTCCACAGTCCTTAGGATGGTTCCCCATCCTATTGCTGAAGTGTGGGGTGGAGACTCCACAAAGAAAGAAAGGGACATTTCTCCTCTGGGACAGGAAAACATCCTTGTCTGCCTCTTGCTGTTTGTGTGGCTGATGACAGGTTTGCTTCGTAAGTGGGAGCTGAGTAAGGATCATTGGAAGAGGTGCAAAGCCCTGGGGGTGAAGTCTTGACTGTGCTGAATCCTGTGAGGAGCAAGTGATTTCTTTCTTCCTCTCCCACTGCACATACTGGGAGGTGTTTTAGTGCCTGTGAAATTAAAATAAGGCAGAATGTGGTTCTTAGAACAGGGCAAAAATGCATTAAAAGGGAAAAAAGATCTGTGTATGCTTATTATTATTATGAATTTTTGTCCTAGTGACTGTAAGTGCTACTTACATCTGAGCTTGTGCTCAGCTTTAGGCACCTGCATCAAATTAGCCTGCAGCTTTTCTTTTAGTTTTGCTCTGTTATTTTGCTTTGCTTGTCTGATTTAGATGTTAAGCAGCTCTACTATGATTCCTCTGAAAACTATGCATGCTTATCTGCCTGATACACAACTTAGAGGCACACCCTGACTGGTGGCAGCTGGGGGGTTGTGAACTTGTAAAGTTGTTTGTGCACTTGTTTTCTCTCTTTTTATTTGGTAGTGTTGTTTTGTTTTTTTTTCCTCTCCCAGAAATGGGGCTGGAGAGACTGGATTTAGTGAGGCTGTAGAGGTGGCACAAGTGTTAACTCTGTGCCACTGGAAGACACCAGGATGGGGAATTGTAAGAACAGGGGGCTGCTGGGTCTGAAAGGGATGTGCTGTGTAATGTGTGAAGCCAGCACTCAAGGGAGATCTGCTGCAAATAAAAGCTGGCAAGTAACAGCACAAAAAACTGTTGTCTTGCAGTGCAGTGTTTCTAAAACATTGCTGAAAATTGGGCAGGGCTGCAAGGGTTGTACTTGATGATCTCGGAGGTCCCTTCCAACCCAGCTGATTCTGTGATTCTATGAAATGTGTTTTCATGGGAGATGGCCAGGAGGAGGTCTGGGTCTGCTGGCTGCCCTTGGGCAGCGAGAGCATCATCATCTCCAGGCTAACACTGGTGCCTGTGTGCCAGAACCAAGGCACAGTGCTGCAGTCCTGGGTTCCCCTGAAGTCTTATCGTACTCAATGCTGCAGTCCTCAGCTAACCTGAGTGTTATTTACCTGTAGGTTCTGACTGCCATAGCAGGGAGGTAAGTTAGTGCCCACAGTACCCTGTGGGCAATTTCCCCTGCTGTGGTGAAATTTGGGCAGCTGGAAGCAGTAGGTGCTGACTCCCTGGCAGCCTGAATCCAGGGAACTTCTCTCCTGTACCTGTGGCTTTGGAATCCTCCGCCCTCCCTTGTGCAGTCTCTGGTCCTTCTCTCTGACCTTTTGTTGAACCATTTGAGCATGTTAATCGAGCTGCTCCACTGCAGACAGCAATCTAATGTGGTTTCAAAGCAGCTTAAATATAAGCACATTTAAAAATTTATTTGACTAAACCAGGTTTGCTTTCATCCTCTGGGTTGTTCTGAACTGTTCAAAAAAACCCATTTCTATAGCCTTGTGCACAGCTGCTGGAAGAATTTCTCTACATTATTCTTACTCCTTCAGTTAAGGTTACAACTTGAGTATTTATTTGAATTTCAGTGTATAATAACCTTAGAGTGGCACTCTGGTACCTACTTTCCCTTCTTCTTTAGTTGCATACCTTTCTCTAAACACCTCTGGAGTTCTCTTATATGATAATTGTCTCTTACATATTCCTCAGGTAATACCAGGGTCCAGAGGGGATTTTTGTGGTGTTTTCTTTTGCCCCCTCCCCTTGCTCTTCAAACTCTCAGTATTTGCATATGAAATTGAAATCTCTCTTTGCAGTTTGTCCAAACTCAAGTTTCTGGTACATGTTTGTGAGTCTCTACCGGTGCGACTGGCTCTGGATGCAGTTTGTGACCACGTGCTGTGTGTTTGTCAGTGTTGTAGCATCCCACAGAGCTCTGCACTTGCCTGAGGCATCAGCTCACACAAGACTCTTTTCCTGCAACCTGTTCAACGTGCTGCTTTACTTGTGATCTGTATGGAAGGAGCGTGTGGGTGCCTTGGCTCAGCAGCCAGCGTTTGATTTATTGCACGTCGTTTCAAATACGACTTAGACCTTGCATCAGAAGGATTGTGGCCATCAAAGGAAGCAGAGGATTGAGGGTGAGGGATCAAAATAGCAGTAAACATGGGATGTGCAGTGCTTTCATGCAGCTGTGTGCTGATAGAGGCCTCTATCAGGTGGGTGGTCCTCTGTCCTCTTGTGTGCTGGGCCATGGAGCACAGCCAGGTGATGAGCCTGGGAAGTCTTGCTCCAAAAAAACAGCCAGGCAGACTGTAATTATATTACTGCTGTCAGCCCTGTTTATGACCAGGACGTGGGCTGGCACCTGCAGTCCTTAGGTATGTACCCGCTGTCCTGGCCTTGAAGAAGCTGGAAGTGGTGAATCTGTGTTTGCTCCACAGTGAAATGCTGCAGACACGGTTGGAATGCTGCTGCTTCTCAGCTTGGCCAAAGCTGTTGTGATGGGAACAGAGCTGCTCTGTGGCTGAAGGTTACACCACACTGCTCCTTGATAAAGCCTCTGTTTATGTGTCGCCTTCACTCCCAGTTTTGGGCCAGAGCCTAAATATATAGAATGAAGTGGCCTGTTTTCATTGTGTGGTATTGGTTGTTTTGTTTTAGTAAAGTAAACATTAGGAATATTCTTAGCTATTTCTGCCAGCCTTTCCATTAGTGCAGTCTGTTTCCAGAGGATTTGAGCTTCACAACAGCAGCAGCAACAAAAAAGGCAACAAAAAGGAAGATTCTCTTGCTGGGGACTTGGCACAGAGGGTTTGGAAGGAGCAGGCAACCACAGAATTCTTCTTTCTTTTTCTGCTTCATGCTTAACTGGAAAGGGATAAAATTTCTTCAGAGTGCCATTCCTTTAATGAGTGATAATAAGTTGCTATATTGTCTTTTACCTCCAGTTTTGCTTGAAAAGCTGTCCCAGAGCTTTGCTGCTTCAATGACTGGTGTTTTTTTACAAACCTAGGTAGAATTATGGCCCATGCAGCTTTTTTTTTTTTCTTTTTTTCAGTTTCTGTGCCAGTATAACCCTTTATCCTTACTGTGTTTACTCTTCTTCCATGGTTCTTGCTGTCAGTAAATGTATTATGAAGGAATTGTATTTCCTTCCAGCTTTTGTTTAGCTTGGCTACATAAGTTGCTCCTTAAGTCTGCTTTCACAACGTTGTCCTGGCTCATAAGTCTCTTCTCCATTCTCAGCAGCAGCTACAATTAAATCTATGTTCTTGAACTTGGTGGCTGAAGTGACACACAGCCCTACAGGTGAGGTCTCACTGTGCAAGGAGATAGCACCTTTTGGTCCCTGAAAGTACTTCCTTGAGGGGTTTTAGGCTCCAATGTGCCTCCTGTGGCTGCTTCACACTGTGACTGATTTGTTGCAGCCAGGTCTCTCTCCCTGTGGTGTTCTCCCAGTGGTAAGATGTTCTCTGTGTGAGTAGTAGTTGTCAATTCTTCCACAAACACACGCACTGCACATTTTGTATTGCATTTCTCTCCTACATTTCAAGGTTTTTCAGCTTTCCTGTGTGATGTCCTAGTCTTCCTTTGTGTTGCTGTTTCCCAGCTTGCTTTCCTGAGCATCGCATTTTCTTTCAGGTTTCTCCCGAGGGATTTTGGATGTTAATTGTGCAATAGGTTTGATGCCTGACAGGCTCCTTTGTAACTTGTTTCCAGCTTTCACCTCCTTGCTCGCTGTCCTCTCCCTATTCGAAAGCACATCCCCGTTCCCCTTAATGTGGGAATGACAGACAAAACAACACAATCATCCAAGGTACTTCAGAAGTGGGTGTCTTGTCCAAGGAGCACATCAGGCTGGGGGTTTGTTTGCTTCCCTGGAGATGACACTGGTTTTGGCACTGTCAGGTGGCCTGTCTTGTCTTCGGTTGCTACTGCAGATGTGTGTGGGCCTCCTGAAAGCTTGTGCCACATCTGCCGGCTTGGCACAGGGAGCAGGGATGCCTCAGCACCCCCACACAGGTACATTCTGTCTCTGCAGCTGAATTGCTGTCCAAGCTGCTGTAGCACAAACTGGCAAACCTCTCCTGGGGTTCGTTGTCTCCTGCTGGCCTCTGTGTCTTCAGCTGTGCTGTCCCTCACGTGGTTTGACAGGACTTGCATGTTAGTGAGGCCAAACCAGCAGGTCTGCTTCTGGTGTTTATTTATTTCCCCCCTTCTGAAGTGTGAGGACTGCCTCCTGTCCTTGCACCGTTTGATACTCACTTAACTTGATAGGTGGATTGAAAATTCTTCCTGTCCCGTTTCCTTGTACTCCCTGCTCGTTTGTTTTACTCCCTCTCCCCTTTTTTTCCCCACATACTTGAATTTGTATGTGTCGGTCTCAAAGGAGTGGATAAATTCACATGTTTTACCAGTTTCTGCCTTGTTTCTGTGGCTGAGCTGGAATCTCTCTCTCCTGCACTCATTCCATCACCCACCCTGCCTTCACCGTGGTGTTTACCATCAGGTTGGAAAACTGACTTGAGGTCGTCTCATTGCCTTTGCAGGCAAATTTACTTTGATACCAGCTTCTAAAAATCCACATCTACCTGTGCCTGGGTTAGATATTGCATTTGTCTTCTCTCCTTCATTTGGTCTGTGTCACTTGGTAAACTGGGTGAAGAGGGGTTGGTGAAGAAGCTGGAGAAACCCCCTCGAAGAATTTAAGGCATTGGCTCTGGTAAACAAAGAAGATCGTGTAATTCTTTTTCTGAACAGCTCAGTGCTCATGACTATCAAAAGGCACAAGTTTCTGACTGGAAAAATTATCTTATGGTGAGGTTTTAAACCAAGCACACAAACTGTCTGTGTGGCCATTGAAAAGATAAGTTTTCCATGCCAAAAAAGAGCCTTCCCGGAGAAACATGGGAGAAATATTTCTCTGGGAGAAATATGGGAAATTGTGAGGATCCTAAATCTGATCCCTACAGTTGAGATCAGGGCAGCTTTCACTGTGTGGTTGCCTCACGGTGAATACTAATTTTCTTGTGAAAATGTTAAATGTTTGTGCTGCTTACATACTGGTGAGTAACCCCGAGTAACCTGTCTTTTCTGCAAATAAATACCACGTGCTATAAAACTTGATTTCCTTCCAGAAAACAAACAAAAAAAGGCAATCAAGGCCTGTAGTGCTGGGGGTTTTACACACACGTGGGATGTGGTCAGGGCCTGGGGAAGGTAAAGATGATCTTCCCCATCAGGTCTGTCAGAACTTCTCCCTGAAGTCACAGCCCTTCAGTTTAGGGAGGGAACCTGCTGCTGCCCTTGGAGAGGGGAGGGAGGAGTAACAAAAAGGGAACGTGTAAGGTGCAGATTGTTGGGGTGCCAATGCCAAAGCTGAAACCTCAAGGTGAGAGGACACCACGTGTGAGGAGCAAGGGCAGCACGGTGCTTCTTGAGATGAAAGAATGAGTAAAAACTGAGATTTTACAGCTCTGTCCAGAGGAATTGCAAAGGGAAAATGTCAAGATACAGAGGGAGAGGGCAAAGCAAGGGGAAGGGTTTTAATAACCGTGAGTGCACAAGTTTGGACACTTGAGTGTCTCAGAAAAATAGTCTTGCTCCAACTGTAGTGCTTTTTCAGTCTCCTTTGTTCCTGCTATTGTTTATCTGGAAGAGAATTGTTTTCAGGATAATTGTACTAACAGTTTTAGATACCTGTAAGCAAACTGTGTCACAGCACCTGCAGCTCACTGGAGGACAAAGCTCAGTTGGGCCGAGGAGTTTTGCCACCACAGCTCACCCCCATTGTGGGCCAGTGCCGTCAGGAGTGAAGAGGGGAGGCTGGAGGGTGGTGAGGAAGCAGCAGGAATAACCCTGTTATGGGGGTGATCACATACCAGGAGTCAGCTGAGTATGGGAAGGGATGGCAGAGGACTGAGGAGGAGCAGGGACACAGCCTTGCAGGCAAAGGTACCCGAGGAAGGGCTGAGAACCCCTTTCATGGGGGATCCCCAAAGCACATGGAGATACCTTGGCTGATGATGGGATGTTTGTGCCAGGGGAGGTGCTGGAGGGGGAAAATACCTTGGTCTTGGTTTCTTTGTGCTGCTGCTTTACCTCCTTAGAAGATCTGTCTTGCCCAGATGTAGGATCACAAAAGAGAGCTGGGGGTGACCCCTCCAGGAGTCCAGAATTAGCTGGTCCCAGCTGCCGTGCAGGGCTTGCTGTGCAGAGCTGCTTGTTATAAAAATGAACAGTTTTCTAGACTCTAAACCACAAAGTGTTGATGACTGGGGATGTCCCTGGTAAGTGGGGTGGGAGAGAGAGGAACATAAATGAAGTTGAAGGGCAACTCTCTTCCCATTCAGGTTCCTCTGGGTGTCTGTCCTTCCTCTTTCTCTCCCCTGTTGACCAGAAAGGGATGCTTTGCCTGATCATCCCTTCTCCAGCTCTTCATCTGTGCAGAGAAAATGAATTTGAGGAAGCAGGTTGGATGGGGACATGGGTGGGAGAGGAACACAGCACAGAAAGCTTCAGTATTTGTCTTTGTGTGACTCCTGGGGAAGTTGGCCTTTATGTTTCAGCTCTGGTCTGTCAAAGTCATGTACACTTCTAAAGGAAGGTCACTTAACAAGGGAAACAACAGTTGTGGTTTCTTTAATCAACTTCTCACCACTTGTGACAGGATCTTAAATGGAAAAAAAGTCGCTTTCTCTTCAAATTCTAGCCCAGAATTCTACTGCTCTCAGTATTCTGACCCCTTCATCCATCCTGATCCCAGAACGAAGGGATTCAACTGATATAAAGATATGTTATTTTCCATTTACAAACATGGAACTGCTCATTTTTCTGATTGGATTAAAAAAATAACACATCTGTACCTGAAGACCACAGTTATTTTATTAGAAGTGAGGGCAGAAGGGGGTAGGACTTAGTAGATGTCTTGGCAGAAAATAAATTCCTCAAGGAGACTGAAAGTGCAAACTGTACTGGTTTGGGCTTTGAAGCTAAAGGTAAAAATAGTTTTAAAAAATAATTTAGCATCTCTTGACAAGAATGAAAGTTCCACCACCTTCATTGTCTGTTTCCATGCTTTACTTGGAATTAAACATGATTAAGAAACAAGTGGCACATAAACTCTCTGGCCACACTTTTTTTTTTTAAAGCATTAATCAACCACATACCTGGCAAGCTTGGCTCCTGGACATCCAGAAATTCCAGATGATTGGCTCTGCATCTCATGTGCAGCAAGTCCAACTTGTTTTGCATGCACTGAACTTCCTGTGGATGTGTGGATGAAATGTGCATGGATGATAAACCACTGCATTTAGGACATGCAAGTGTCAGCAGCTTTTGCATCAGACCTGTCCTTTTTGCACCTCTTCCCTCTAAAAAGAGGGAAGAACCTGTTTATTTTTGAGGTGTTCCGAGAGCCACCATGTCAGTCCATCATCAATAGAGTGATTCTGTGTTTCAACTCAGCTACAAATGAAATAAGCAGTTGAGCTCTTCATTCCTGTTAGCTATTAAAAATACCTTAAAATCTTTTATATTTGACCATAATAGTGGGTTTTCATGTTGATTGTGTGGGATTAATGTCAGAAATCACTTCTGAGGGAATTTAGACTTTGAGAAAGGGGAGAGGTGAGCTCTCTCTATTTGTCCACTTCTAAACTATAATTTGCAGAAGACAAACCTGAAAAGGCAAATCTTGTTGCTTGTGGGTGTGGTTGGGATTTTTATTTGTCATCTTTGCCCCCCCCCACCCCCTGCTCCTTTGTAATTAAGTCTCTACCTTAATGGATGTGCTCTGAAACCCTCGATAATGCTCTGGTCATCCTTAAAACGTACCCTAGAGAGCCCAGGGAGATGAAATATATTTAAGGAGAGGCCGATAAGGATCTTCCAGAAGGAACAATGATTCACTTTAAAGCCTTCAGCTTCAATTCCAGTGCCCGTAAGTGGAGCAGTGAGTGCACAAACACAGTTTAATAGCATCATGCAGAGTTTCTGTCAGACAGATCTCGCAGCGAGTTAATTTGTCTGCGCATTGCATTGACCTGATTACCTTCTGAGTCAGTCTAAGGAGGGCTCAGCTGTCCTTTCCAGTGGAGCTGTGGGGACAGTAACCACAGAGGAGGGACAGTGACAAGCAGATGTCTCCAGCCAGCAGGTCTGGTTGCAAAGTGATCGTGGTGTAATGAATGTTTTCTGACTTCTGTCCTTGGGGGCTTTTCCTGTGCCGCCAGCCTGCACACTCCAGGAATTTTGCCTGGCAGCTCCAGCACCCCAGTCAGTTTGCAGAGCAGAGGGAGGAAAAGCTATTTGCTGTTTGTAAACTCAGTGTGATAACAAGTTAAATTACTGCTCCTAAAAGTGAGGGAGTGGACTCAACAAAGTCTGTTGCAGTCTGGTGGCATACAGAGTTTTCCCAGATGTTTAGTTTTGACACCAAATTTCAGGACCTTTCTTGGTTTGGCCAAAGGCTTGAATAAACTTTTGAAGGCTCCTGTTCTTTCCCATCCCCCTGGGAACTGGAATTACTCAGGCAAAATCCTCTTCTGTAGCAGCAGGGTTATGCCACAGTTTCACATTTGTAGGATACCACTAAACTAAAACCAGCTGTCCTGTGTCAGGCTACTTAGATCTGAGCAGAAGAGGAAGAAGAATAAACATCTTTGTCTCCCTTATGCAAAACTGCCTCTTTGAGCTTTTAATATCTAGGTATATGAAATTGAAAGGAGTCTTTGTCAGGTGAGGAGTTACTTTTGAGTTAGATAATAATACAAAAGAAATTTTGAGAAACACCATAATTTGGAGGCATTAAATTTCATGTGCAGAATTGAACACTGGAACCACATCTTTTTAGAAGAACATACAGAAGGAGGCAGGAACATTCATGAAGTTGCTCAGGAATTTCCCACCTGTGGAATTTGGCATGTCTGATAGCCTAAAGTCCTTCCCTAGTTCCTTTCTTTCTTTCACCAAACCTTCTGAAGACTAACTTGTTTTTCTCTTCCTTTGTTTCCCCTCGCCCTTTTTACTTCTTTAGGTGGTTTCTTGCAATGTTGTGGGGGATTCTGTAAGGTTTGTTGTCGCCGTCTCTGACTCTTCGCCCGCGGCCGCGGAACCTCAGTCCTACAGTGTGAAACTGTCTCCACTTCACTTGCAGGTAAAGGTCTCCTCTCTCTTCCCTTTGTTTTATTGCATTTCATCCTGCAGCTGTTTGCAGACTGCATATTCACTTGTGTTAACACTGGTAAAACGTTTAGTAACGTTACACTTTGCCTCTAGGGCAAGTGGTAAATTCGTAAATTACAGATAAATAACACGTTGGGTAGAATAGTAAGATGTATAGAACAGTTCTCTTTTTTGACTGGCATGCCCTCACAAAGATTAAGCACCTTCTGCCTTCTTGGATTGTCACTTTGAAGTTACTTATAACATTCTTCCTTTGTCAAGCCTTAGTATGGGGCTTGGCCTACAGCTTCTCGACAGGACACCAGAACACTCTCCAATAACTGCTTTCTTATCCACAGCTCCAGCTCTCCGTGAAAGACAAAGGAGAAGATGTCAAAGTTGAGTGGTTCCTCATTAACACTGATGAAATCAACTTTGAAATCCAGCCAGCAGTGCAGGAGGTCAGTCAGTAAGTTTTATTTGTTGTAGTGGTAGAGAAAACAGGTCTCTGTCCCTTCGGTCCAAAACATAGTGTAAAGCCTCTGCCGTGGCTCAGTCACCAAACCCCTCCATCTCTGAAATCTGGGGTCATTGTAGAGATTACTGAGGCATTAGACATAAGTCAAGTCTGTATTTGATGGACAAATAACTTTGCAAACATTTTTTGTCCGAATTCAAAAGTGTGAAAAACGTCTCTTCCTAAATACCTTCTCTCTGAGCACTTCTAAAATAATTAAAAAACCCAGTTGTAATAGTATCCTCATCAAAGCGATTGCAAAGTTGCTCCTTTCCTTAATTTAAACCAGTTTTGAAATCTGGTAATGATAGTTCAGAAATAGCTGTGAAAAAATACAGTTGTTTAAGGAAATGATGGATGATCTAAAAATATTTTGATGCTTTTGGAATTGCAACTTATCTTTGTATATAAACAACTGATTTGTTGGGGATTGTTTTACTGGGACATCCTCTGAAAGAGTTTCTTCATGACTGAGGTTCTCTTCTGCTTTTGACCCTTCACAATTATATTTTTTTGGCATAAATGTGGTGACTTAAGCCTTTCTTACAACAGAGGGTGAAGACTTGCTTGTGTTTTGTGAAGTTACTTTTCAGACTGAAGGCCTTGTTAAAAATAGGTTTATTGTAGAGCTGCTTCTAAAGACCTGTACTGAATGCCCTAATTTATTACCACAGCTTTTGTACACAAATATGTGAAACTCATAACTAAAGACAGACAAGTCTTTTGAAGTGTGCTTTAATGTAGATTTTACTGTGCACACGTAGCAGTGTAAATGACCCTCACGTGCTGGGGTGACATGCTGATTATCCACATATTGAACAGTCATTAAATTATTCCTGACAAACACAGATGACTCTACAGTCACTGGACTTCACAACCAGCTTTTTGAGAGGTGCCCAAGTCCAGCGTTGCAGGGTTGCAACTTGTTATGCTTTGCCCACGTTTTTAGAATGAGCCTGTTAAGTTCTTAATAGTTAAAGGCTTTATTTTCCCTTTGAAGTTTCTATTAGCACTCAGGGAAGAGGGGAGGCAATAAACAAAGATCTAAAACCTGTGAGCAACCTACACCTCAGAAATTGCTTCAGCTCCTAAACTCAAGCGTCAGCTTTTGTGTCCTGTTTTTTTTTTCCCTCTTTTGGAAGCGAGATTGTGTGTACAAATAAATACCTGTAATTACTTGTGATTATCTACACAGTGGTTTTGTCATCACACAGGCTGGGTATAACGACCCATTTTCTTTTGATAGTGGCTGGGTGAACCTGAGCTGTGTTTGGCAACCTGGCTGACTCGTAGGGCTTGGGTTTGCATGGGGTGACTTGGTGTGCTGGTGTGCCCCAATCTGGCTGTGGTGACTGGCTGTGCACCCCTAGCCCATGTGAAACCCAAAGTGAAACCTGTTGACTTCATCATTTTGGGCTTGCCCTGTCGAGGGTGTCATGGTAGAGCATGACTTTCTGAGTAAGGATGGCTAAAAATGAGGTTGGGCTGACAGGAGGCTCTTTAATTGATCTCTTTTCCAAGTAACTATGGAATCAATGGAAAATACCTATGAGTAGAAGTCCAGTGACTGTGGTGGTTGTTGTTTCTTTTAAATAACAAATGTCAGAGAAGGTTGATGGCAAAGCCAGTGGCAAACGGGATTTTAGAATTTGATTTGTTCATCAAACAGTGTTAAGGTGAAGGCAGGGGAGGGAAATTACCTCCAAAACAGCAAGAACTAACCACAGTTTATCTGCTTATTTAAATAACTTAAGTAATGAAATTGCTGACATGGAAATTGCTTTAAACAGCCTAATTTACTTAAATCTTTTTTAAAGTAGACAAGTATTATCTTCAAGTTACAGATGTGCCTCTTTCCTTGGCTCTTGTTTGAGGGAGCACGGTGTGAGTACAGCAGAGTTTCTGTGGGACTGGCCAATGCTGTTATATGTTTTGAACCTGTCATCAAAGGCCAACTGGGTAAGAAGGCAGTAGTAAAACAGGAATTCTGTACATGGCATTCCTGGGATTTTTATGAAACACCCTAAATGTTTCTGTAACACTTGGGTAATTGGGGAAGGGCTGTTACTCCAGATCTGTTTGGCCTCTTGTGTAACCTCACAACAGTAAAGTCTCCCAGTGTGGTATCAGATGGGAAAAGATGGATGAGTCCTCTGTTTTTAGGTCAGATGTTTGTCTCCTGCTTAAATCTTTTCTTTAAAGAAGAAACCTCACTGAGATTTCTCCTGTGCTACCTTCAGAGCTGTTGGGTGTCAGACTGTCCCTTCTGGGAAAGCTCAGTTTAAAAATCTACTCCCTGTAGGCAGCTGAGCAGAAGAAAATTCCTGAGGACCATGCTATGGGAAGCAGGCATTCTCCAGGAACACAGAAAGGGCAGGGGCAGGTCACTGTCTTCATACACCTTATCATACCAATCGTGAAGCTACGTGTGTAATCAAAATCTGTGGTCTGTTCTGATCCCTCAGAGATTGTGGTGCTGAGCACAGAAAGCCATGAGATTTTTTGAATGGGCAAACTCACAAGCCAGTCCCCCAGAGCATCACGACTACCTGTCCTTGCAGTGCACTTTTTCAGCAAGGTTGAAGACCTCCAGGAGATGCTGTAATATTTTTTTTGTCAGTGCAGCACAGGATTAGTTTCTCCTCAGCTGCTGCAGGCTGGCATAACTCCCATTAAATCTGCGGAACGGTGCCGATCTGCTTATCTGATGACCTGATCTGCTCCCTCCATGGAGTGCAGAGCAGCACAAAATCTTTAAAACACCCATCATAAGATAAAAGCTGTTAGCGAAACTTCTGGTTTTGTGGCTAATAGTCTTCCTAGCTCTCAGAACAGCATATGACTTTTTTAACTGTTTAATTCTAGTTTTCCTTTAATGCACAATATAGAAATTTAAGTAATTCTTTGCATGATCTCTTGTTAAATTCTGTTGTTGGCAACAGAAACCACGTCTCCCTCTGGCAAAGTTAACGTTTGATAGCTTTGGTGGTTTAGGTACACCAAATTTAATTTTGCCTTACCTTATTCTGAGTTTTGAGAAGCCTTATTGATTGTTTCCTCCTAGGGACAGGCAGCAGGGACACGTGCAATACCTGAAACGCTCAGAGATGTCTTGAAGAACCTCTTTAGCTCAGCTTCTCCATCTGTGGTGTTGAGTGTGAGGCCTGCAGATACAAAGGAGGTTCAGGTAAGTCTTGCTCCTGCCAAAATCCTTTGAGAAGCTTCTTTCTGCTTAGTGTTTTTTTTACATATCCATGACTCACAAATGAGCAAGTTTAAGACTGTTGGGTGATCAGAAACAACTGGAGGAGATTTTTTGAAACAACGTAGCCTTTGGCATCCAGGGCTCTGTGATCACACTGGCCCGTGGCTCTCTGTTGGGTTACACCCCGTCTCATCTCTGTTCCCCCACATCAGCGTGACACGAGCCTGGGGTGCTTTCACGTGCACAATCCCTCTTGTTCTGCTTGCCTTTTGCAGAATGTACAGAACACAGGCCTTCTCCCTCAGGGCACTAGTCCTCCCAAACCTCCAAGGGCTCATGAACTCAAGCTGCTGGTGAAGAACATCGCGGTAAACCCGCCCCATCACCGTGCTGCAGGTAACGCAGCCCGTGAGGTGCTGCTCGTGTTCAGGCAGGGTTGGATTGTTTGGTGGTTTGTTTTTTTTTTTCCTTTTGGGTGAAATAATTTGGAAGTTCTGGGTTACGACCTTCTCTCGAAAGGGAATTGCTTTACTCCGAGAAACAGACTTCATGGAATCATAGAATGGTTTGAGTTGGAAGGGACCTTAAAGATCATCCTGTTCCTACCCCTCTGCCGTGGGCAGGGACACCTTTCACTGGACCAAGCCTCATCCAACCTGGCCTGGAACGCTTCCAGGAGCGGGGTATCCACAGCTTCTCTGGGCAATCAATGCCAATGCTGACTTAGTCCTGCTTGTGCAGGTTTTGGCTTATACTGTTGGCAGTGACATTGGTTTGATTCAGTGTTATCTTATTTTTACAGCTGCTTTTCTTTACTTCTGAGCAATTTTCTGGTTCATCTGAAACTCTCCTCTATGTAAACTCTTCAAAGGTGATCTTTTGTTGTCAGGATTTCTCCCCCTAAGGAAGTACCTCTGGGGTAGGGGAGGCAGTACCTCTTGCAAGTGGAGACTGAAGCCAGAAAGGAGATCACTGCCTAGAGAAGTTGCTGTATGGGTTTTGCAAAGTAGCACCAAGCCTGTCTTACAAGTATTCAGCCTTCTCCAAGTGCAGTCAGGCCTCTGTTGCTGATTGAGGCACAAGGAGGAACATTTCAGGTTTTGTCAGCAGAAATACGAATTTGAGGCTCTGTTATTTACAGTCACTAAACAGTTCTGTAGCAGTCTTTTTAATGGAAGCTTTTGGCTGCTAAATTAGGCAGGGCACAAGTTTTGGATAAATATATCCTACTTGCTGTACTCCTTTTTTCAGTTAGACGTAATAGGTTTCTGCCCTAGACTCTTGCATAATGCTGCTTTGCTTATCCTGATTGGAAGTGATTCCCCTAAAAATTTCTGCAGGCTGTTTTTTCTTTTAAAATCAAATTATTTTTAAAGCAGTTCTGGAACTCTGTGCTGTGAAATGTCCTCTATAAATAAAACTGTGCTGGAAACTGCAACCTGGTCTAGTGGCAAGTGTCCCTGCCAATGGCAGGGGGGTTGGAACAAGAAGATCTTTAAGATCCCTTCCAACCCAAACCATTCTATGATTCTATGATTTGTTATTACTGTACAATTTTGTAGTGCAAATTAAGCTTTACAAAAGAGCTAGTCATTTTGACTGCATTTAAAAGCCATGAGATGAGATACCTTTATGTACATACAGTGCATAGAGTAGAAGATTGACCTTATGACAAACCTCTCTGCACCTTCCCTGAAAATGAGAGGAAGAGTGGACAATTAATGTGCTCTGTTCTGGGAACACAGATGTTGGGAGGCAAAATCCCCATTTGCTATTGTCAAAGGAGATGGAGGGAATTCTGCTGGTTCCTTAGCAACTCTGGAAGTGTAAACATTTGGAACTGAGTATGAGAAGCAAAACTTCACACCGTGGTTTAACTGGTACACTTGAAATCCAGTGGAAGTACAGCACAGCTGGAAAGGTGCTATCTGCTGGACATAGCTTGCTGCCTTTTAATTATTGTTCCTTTCCATTTTCCTGTCCTTATCTTGCCATAATTAATTATCCTGTTGGAACTCTGAGACTCCATAAGAGTGTGCAGTATTTCAGGCCAACCTGCATAGGTACATGGAGGGTTGGAGAGGGGCAGTTTGTCTTGACCATTTATCATCCATGGTAATGATCATAAACTGTGGATGATTTATCATAAACCATGGATGCTAACATGGTTTATAGGAGCTTTTGGCTCTGCTGTTGATGTGTCAGTTCAACTGGTGAATAACCAGTAGCAGAACTGGTCTCTGCTTATGGACTGTGCCCATTTTTATCTCCTCGGTTTGTGTATGTAAACAAAGATTACCCTAGATTTTGTACTGCATAGTCCACAGGGAATCATCTAGGGCAAAAGTGACTTCTGCTGTTAAGGAAGAAGTTGCTGGTTGTTTACACCAGGGTGTGCAGGGCAGAAGTGCTGCAGTCCCCTGCTGGGTACGATCAGTGAGTGGCTCTGGTTGTAGTTTCAGGCAGAGCTGTGCAGCTCTTTCTGCTCTGGGCTGCTGAGCACAGGACAGGCTGCAGGGACATATGGCTGGGTGAGCAGAAACCACCCCAGGTTCATTAACTCAGGCTCAGCTCACTGGGAAAGCAGCTCAACTACTTACTCCAGGGTCAGCTTGGATCCCAAATAAGCTGCGTGTACGCGGTGCTTTGTCTCCTCTAATAACCTTGCCAGGCCCAAGCTGCCTCTGTGCCTGAGACAGGGATGATCCACAGCCCTGAGTCATCAGCAGAGGACAACTGAGAGCTGATGATAGTAAATATAAACCAGTAAATATTCTGGAGAACTGGAGGCAGCATCTTTTGTTTGCTTTGCACACAGTCAGTACTGAGCTTTATTTGTTGCTTTCCTTGATATTTTGGAACTCTGGGTCTGAAATTTTTTTCCGAGGCTGCGAAAGCCTTACAAAAGAAGTTGTTTTAAGAGGAACACATTTTGCAAACTATTTCCCCCATTGGAGCAGCAATATGACTACTCTAATACGCCAATTTGCCACACTATCAAATTCCAAGATCAAGGCAGAGATAAGTCTGCAGAAGTGCTTTAAAATGCCATGAACTTGTTAAAAACCGCAGTCCACAGAGCCATTGTGAATTAGCACTGCTGTCATCAGTCACTTGCCAGCAGAGAAAGCTTGTTTCCATGTCCAAATAAACCACTGTGACTGTGGGCAGTAGGGACTTTAAAAACTTCTGGGTTTCTTAAAGCAGCTGGAGGCAACTTTGCTCCCTCCCTGCCTCGCACCCACACTGCCACCTCCTCACCGTGCTGTCTCCCCACCCTTTTTGATCTCTTTATGCCTTCACTTTCTTGCTTCACGCCAGAATTTAAATTGGGTTGTCATGTTTCACACTGTGTAGAGCAGCACATAAGACACTGGTGATGCAATGTTGACCTTTGCCATTAATGTTGTCGCTGTACAAACCAAGGGAGGGAATTTATTCTGTGGGAGGGTGAGAAAGTGTTTGCAACAGTCTGTTCTGAAGTGCAGGATGCAATGAAAGGGGTTCTTTGCTTTCTTTTGGGTAAATGGCCTATTGCTGGTGGAGTAATAATGGCTTGGTTTTTCTTGCCCTCACAGGCAGCACAGACCTTGTGTGTATAGCTCAGTTGAATGACCCTATGCAGAAGTTTTCCAGCTCTGTAGCCAAAAATGCTGCACATCCCTTTTGGAAGGAAGAGTTTATCTTGTAAGTAACTTACCTACCAAGAATACTTTTGCAGTAAAGCATCTTTTTGTACTTGAACTGTATGAGGGAAGAGTGGCATTTTGAAGTACAAGCAGTTGGGTGGCCTCAGAAAAATCTGGAGCTGATGAGGACTTCAGGATATCTAATTACCCTCTGCATGGACATGAGATCAAATAGGTCTCTAGATCATCCGTGGTAGATATCAGATTCTAGTAAATGACAGCAGTAACAAGCATAGTAAATCACCCTGTGCTTTCATACAGTGCCAAAACAAAGTGTTAGCAAGGTTTTGAAGTCACTTTACCTTGAAAACTGCTTTTGAGGGAATGTAATGTCTCTCCATTCACTCCCCTGAGTGGAAAAAAGTAAATGTGCCAAAACGATCGACCATCTGAAAGAATGGTGGCTGTGACTAAAAAGGGAGAGTAAAACTTAACTAGCTTTTTTTATTCCTGTAGAACAAAAAGGGGACTTTTGGGCAGCCTACACAATGCTCTGTGATTCACACAGCTGCTGTAAATAAGGTCAAAAGGGAGCAGTTCTAAAGCTATTTTCATTTTCACTTTTGAACAGCAGAGCAAAAATACCTGGTAGCTTCTGTATGTACGAGTTTAGGAAGGAGGAATCACTGATGGCAGGGTAGGTCAGAGGATGTTCCTTTAGTGGCTTTAAGCACATGCACAGTCAGGCAGAAGCAGCTTTCCAAGGGAATTGTGTAGAGGTGCTGCCATACAACATACTGCAGACACTGCTTTCTTATTTTTTCTACCAGATTTTTAAGGTGAGAGGCACTTCACGTGCAGTGGAGTCTCTCTGGTTCTTTCTGTAGCTTCCCTCTTCTGTCTCAGTTCCATTCCTCTTTATGTATATATAAAAAATACATACTTTTTATATGAGAATAATGCTGCATGGTTCTGTGTGACATTTTTCTTCATTGTCTAGTCACAGCCTGGCATCCACTGGATCTGTTCCTTCTCTTGCAAAGCAGAGATTTAGCTACAAGGAACTGAACCTGTGCCTGTCTGTGCTCTCTTCCTCGAGGAGTGATGTGCTCCTCCTCACCTTTGACCAGTCATCACAAGTTGTACAGGGCTTGGAGAACACCCCTCTGCATGTGCAGGGGATGATGATGATCAGAAGTCACTATAGTTAGCAAAGAAACAGTGATACTGTAGAACAACACTGGAAGGCCTCCACCTTTCTATGTGGCCTGATGGAGGTGTGTGCACCTGGTTCCTGCTGTTCAGTGGAAAACCATCCAGGAAGCCTTATCCCTTCAACTAACAATTTGTGAGGTCTGATTTTAGTTATGAGCAGCAACAGCTTTGGAAGAAAGCCACAGATCAGACAACCTTCTTCTGTGACACTGTGCTGTGTTGCCACTGAGACCTGAGGATTAACATGATGTGATTTCTTCTCCGTGGTGAGAAGGGGGGAATCACCCTTCTGTTGCAACTTTCTGTTCTGGAGCATCACAGAGTGCTTCAACCACCAGTGGGTCTGTGAATCACTTCAGCCATCTGTTGGTGGAACAGCACCCGTGCTTGATGCTGCAGAGCAGACAGGTTCCCAGCAGTTTCTGACAGGAAATTTGTAAGAATAATACCCTTTCCAACTGAAAGTGCAGACAGAGGGCAGGCAGGATGTGATTAACTTGACTGGAATTTGGCCTTGACACCAGGGATAATGCTGGGGTTTCCACACTGCTTTTCAGAAGTGCATGAGGTAAGCCTGGGGACTTTTACAGATGAGTGATTAGGATTTTGGCAGGATTTTTTCTGAACTTCATTCAAGTTCATGGACATGCACCTCTGCCCTTTTCTTTCTTCACAGCCAAAAATATCCACCACTCTGAGGACCAGTGTACTGAACACCATGTCAGGCTCTGCTTTAGCTTTGTGGCAAAGGCAGGAAGAGTACCAACAGAGTGCTTCCTTTCAAGTTTTGGAGGCGCAGAAGAGGGTGGTAGTGGCAGGGAAAAGCTTAAAATGTGCTGCATAGATGGTGTCCCGCAGAATCTAATGGAGGTGGGATGTTTGCAACCAAAAAGACATAGCAAAATAAAATACATATATGCCCTTAGGGTTTTTGGCAGAACATCCACTGAGAGGGTTATAAAATGAAGTTTTACTGGAGGGTTCCTCAGCAGGTACCCAGTTTGCTTCACTGTCTCAGTCAGAGGAAAGGTTTTGTATCTGTTGTCTGGTCCATCTTGTGAAGTGCCACATATGCCAGTAATTCTGTCAATAGTTCACACTGGTCCTGTCACACAGAAATCAATTCTTGCAACATCCCTGTTGCTTTTCCTTATTTTGGAAAAGCGATACTGACTCTTCTCACTTAAAACTACAATTACTTTTATTTTCTTGCGTCTATCCTGATTTTGCAGGACACTTTCGTGCTTTGACAAGGCAACCCCACAGCTTTGAATGGGTTTTTGAAAGAACCTGTTCCAGCATCTTGACTTATAAATTTGATCCTTCAGGGGGAAAAAAAAGGCTTCTTAGTGCTGTGGTGTAATTGTCAGACCAGGGACCAACATCAGCTTGGAGGGCAGTGTTTGTCAGCTGCTGGGGAGAAGAAGAACCTCTGAAATTTTAGGAGACTGAACCTGTGCCACAGTGGTGGAGGGAACCAGAGCATGGTTTTCTGACTGTGATCCCTTTAGGGAGGCTTACCTGTGTGCCCAGCAGCCTGGCAGTGCCACCTCCCTAATCAGCAAGGTGCACTTGCTTGGCTTGGAGAGGGCTGAGAAAAGCTGGGGAACAGGGAAAAACCTAAGTAAGGGAGGAAAATCTGCTTTCCTGCGAAGACCTAACGTGGTTTTGTTTATTTCACAGTGAACTAAGTGCCAAATCAAAAGCATTGCAACTGCAAATAGTAGAAGATGGAAAGATGGATAGTAAGTATTAAGACTGAATTGCTTTGCATGATCAGCTTGTGAGCTTTGCTGACTGTTGACAAGTCCCCTTTCAGTTCTGGATGGCCAAACTGATGGTCACACCCATCAGTAACTGTGGATAGAAGAGAGAATACACTGATCAGGTGCCTCTGTCCTGCTCTGGGTTAAGGTTACAGAAAATCTTTTGAGTTTCTTTCTAGACTCTCAACATACTGAGTCTTCCATGTACTGATATCCTATATTTTTCAGCCTTCCAAACTCCTAACAGATCCACTGTGAGCCTTTTTGGTTTCAAGTTAAGCTTTCGAGCCCTTTCTATGGCTGAAGGGGAATCTTGAGTGTTAATCCTAAATCCTTCCTTTTCAAGCCCCAGAGGCTGCCTAACAATTATCAGGTATAAAACATGCTCATTTTGATTATATTGGATTAAATGTAAAAGGGGGCTGAAGCCTTTTTGCTACTTGACTCCATTGTTGCAGAATTATTTTTAATAATCTAGATATACAGACTTGTGTGATACCTTGCATATGATGTGCAATTATTGGAGGGATTGGAAAGTTAAATGTAGTCACAAGCTTGAAAAAATTTCTCTGATATGGATGCAGTTTTTTATTTTTAACAAAAATGTGGAATCTATACAGAGCCAACAATTGTATATTGTTCCTTGCACAAGGTTTAGTCTTGCCTGTACCTAAGCATCTTTAACAATGGGTCTTGCAAACAACACCAGTAATGTTCCACATCCTACTGAGGGTGTGACTATCAGCCTGTTTTCCTGAAGAAAAAGGTCCCAGTGGATTGCACTGACATTTGTCTTCCTGCCCCTCTGCCCCCCCCCCATACCAGCTTAGCTGCTCTTCTTCCCAAAATTGGAATATAAGACTCAAAGTAGAATCATATTAACGAGCAGAGAGCTGAGTAATGTAGTTCCCTACTTGTCTTTGAATTTCACAGAAAACTAGGATTTCATCTCTGAAATCATGCAGCACTTTTGCTAATAGTTTGTTATTAAATCTAGTGGAGATGAAAAAAGTCAGGAGAGGAACAAGAGAACTGCTGAACTTGCACTGAAGTTCAAATTGAGAAAGACAATGATGCACCAGTCTAGCAGGAATCCAGAGCGTTCTCTGGAATGAAAAATGCAGGTAGCTGGTTGTGGGGATTGTTCAAGGACCTAATAGGAATATTTCTAGTTGTTTTCTTTTTCCCTAAACATTCTGCATATACAGGGAAAACTAATGGCCAGAAATAGTAGTAAGTATTAGTAAATAGTAGTATTTAATTTCTCCATTCTTTCCTGTTGCACAGTATTAGCCCAAGCTGACGAATAGTCATAAAATGGAAAGAAAACTGTGAAAAGTGCCAGGTTTCTGCCCCATGATGTAGAACCAGTTTCTGGAATTAGCTGCCTGTGCTTTTCCTCCCCTTTTCCCATCTCCCCCCCTTAAACATACTCACAGCTTAGGTGTGCCCTCATTTTGTTGATTTTCTTTGTTCCAGGTCCTTTATCTGGGAAGGTGACTGTACCTCTGGACTTGTTCAGGAAACAACCCTCTGGCCAGCAAAGCTTTGCCCTGAACAGTGAGGCCAGTGAGGGCAGCTCGGAGCCAGGGCCTGGGCTGGGATCCATCAGTGCAGAGGTACTGCTGGGTTTGGATGGGTTTGGGCTGGATCTTTTGCCTCTGGAAATATATACAAGTGCTCATCTTGTGCTTGTGGCTGAGTCAGAGTATCCCACTCTGGTTGTGCAGTGTTTGTGTCTCACCAAAAGAACGAGCTCTTGAGTTTGGCTCTTGAGCATCAGCAGAAACATTAAAGAAGTACTAGGTAGAAATACTGTCCTTCTTGCTTGACTGTGCTTCTAAGGTGACTTTTTTTTTCGGTCTCCTTAGTTCTCTTTTATAGAACCCAGTGAACTGAAGACAAGGCAAGTCTCCTCCCCAGTGCTGGCCACCAAGATAGAAAAGGATCGCACTGTGATGCCCTGTGGGACTGTGGTCACTACTGTCACTGCTGTGAGAACCAAACCTCGTCTGGAAGGGAGAGCATCTCCCCTCAGCACAGGTGAGAGGGTCCAGTTCTTCCTGTGCTCACTCACAGGGTTATCCATGGGCACCGGGATGGGATGTAAGGAGAGAGTTCTCTGATGTGTTGGAGTGGGGTTGCTGTTTGTGTCCTCTGGAATCAGGGTTTTAATTTTCATGGAACCTTGTTCTTACAACAGGAACAGTTAATGCTTCTTTTAATACACACTGTAAAGCTTCACAGTAGGGTGATAATGCAGAAGACCTGGATTTTGGGGGATGGTTTTTCACAAATGTATCAGACTCTCAGGGTGTTTGCTGATAACAGACCATCCTGTGCCTTCTGACCTTGATCTGTGTTATCATCTCTAATGAAGGTTGGTGTGTGACAAAGTCCTTTTCAGCATGTCTTTTAGGAGTAGATTTTCCAATTCTTCTTGGGATAAATATGAAAGTAAAACCTGTGAACAGTCTTGATACGAAGTCTCACAGAGATGAGCATTAAGTTGTTCAAGCAGATCTTTTACTTAAGTGGGTGTCATCTAGCACATTACGTTGGTAGAAGGTTTAAAAACAATAAATTTCTGCACTTCACAGGTCTTTCTGGGGTCAGGTTACCGTAGAACATATGTTGAGAATGTGTATTAAACAGCTTTCTCAAACACTTATGTTTTGAGTAGTCACAACAGGTATAATAAATTCTTATTAATGTCATAAAAAATGTCTCAAATAGTTCAAATAACAAAAAAACTTGGTCCTCAGATTCTCCTGTGAAAACTCCAGTTAAAGTAAAAGTGACTGAAAAGGATTTCTCTGTTGAAGCTCTCCATTCTCATGGTGCTCCAGTCAGCAAAACTTTGTCATCTTCAGACACAGGTAATTGAAATATTCAAAGGTGCTAATGAGGACATCTCTCTCTGCTGCATGTGGGATTAATGTGATCCTGTTAAAATAACAGCCAACCCATATGGCTGCTGCCTGTCAACAGCACTGAGATGTTTATGTTACAAAGCACTGTGGTTAAGGGATATGGCAGCCTTGCAGTAGAAGTCTGTTTTTCATTGGCAATTTAAATTACTGGTTTTGAATAAATAACAATGAGCTGTGGTTTGGAGAGGGGAGGTGACTGCAGAAAAGCCAGGCTGTGTTTTCTCTTACTTTTTAGTGAAAGATTCCTCCTTTCATAAAGGCGTGGGGGATGCTGTACAAAATCAAAACCCTGTGACAAGAACCTCTTAAGGCCATTGTGAAGTCTCCTCTGTGTGAAGAGAAGACAGAGGTTGGACTGATGTAAGGAAGATGGAATTCTCTTCCTAGCCTTAATCTTGGGCTTTTTTTTGGGCTAATGGAAATACCCAATCTTTCTGTGCCTGTTTGTCCACCTTCCTAAGTCACCTGGCATACAGGTGCCTGCACAGTGGCACGTGGCATTGACAGTAACTTTAATTATAAATTCACTTTGAATTGTATTAAACCTGATTTTGACTCTGGGTTGTTCTACCCTTGCAAGCTGCAACTCTGAATCTTCTGCATCTTCTTCAGTCCTGTGTGTGGTCACCACTGAGTCTTTTAGTAGCTCTGTGGGCAACAGGAATAAAAGATGTGACCCAGTCTGGCTGCCAGTGACACATAATGTGGAGTTAAGATTGCTCTGTAGGGATTTCAGTGGAGATGGGACAATCTGGAGATGATCTAGACTGCTCCTGGCAGAATCAGAAGGTTTGCTGAGAGACAGAAATGGGGCCAACAAATATGGGGAAGAGCATGAAGCACTAAACCATGAATAGCTGTAATAGCACTTGAATCTTCTCCCACCTCCAGGCTAACAAGTGCTGTGATACCATGAAGCAATGTGGAATATTACTGCCTCAATTTGGGAAATGTTGAGATAGTGCAGTACTTCTGAGTTGACTCCCTTAAGCGTTTATGATATTAAAGGTACAAAACACTTATTGGAAAACTCATCTGAAGGCAGCTCAGACCCTAATGGTACAGACAGTGTTTTTAATGGGAGTGCAGGGGAATTTCTGTGAAATGTTTATACAGTACAGCAGGAAGAATTACTCATTAGAAGGAAAGGTTAAGCCAAATGAAAGAAAGAGAAAGAAGCTTTTGGTGTGGCAGTAACTTGGGTAACAGTTATCATAAAAATCATGGCAAAATTGCAACAAGCACTCTGGAAAAGGTGCTGTGTCGGTGCCATAGTTCTAAGTGATGACAGCAATGAAAATTAACAAGTACCTGGATGGTCTCAGCTCTTCCTGGGGGCTTTGCAGAGGCTGGGGAGATGGAAAAGTAAAGGTTTGTGATGAGTGTGCAGACATGCACATCCCTTGTGCACATATATACTCCTAAATTCCAGGCCTCATCTTTTATTGCATTAATGTCACAGTAACAAAAGACACTGCTCAGTTTAATTAACACTGGTGCTGTTCCTGCCTCTGTTTTTTGGGGATTTTTTTTGCTGTTAAAACTCTTAGCAGAAAAGCTCACCTCAGACAATAAAATATGGGGATTTTTGTCTTGCTGACTTTCTTTGCCTGGTTTGTTCCTCAGCTTGATGAATTATCACTGTGTGTTTGCTGTGCCCAAAGTTCTTTGCATTACCAGATGCCAGAATTGGCCATGCTTAAAAATAAATATGTTTGTCACTAAAGAGCATTTTATAAAGAAGGTTTTACATTCCTGTGCAGTGTTTGGAGGGGAGAAATGGGGAGGTGCACTTTATAGGCTTTGGAGGCAGCTGATGAAGGGCAGAGTGACTGACACTTTGCCCTCCCCATCCTATCAAAGTGCCACAGCAAATTTGGAAATGCTGAGCAAGGATGTCTGGAAAAAGAGCAAAATAGCTACCTGAGGAAACAGTGTCATCCACCAGCTTTGCACCGTGTTCTTAGTGACTGTGATACCTGATGCTCTCACCACTGTCATCACAGTGTAGCAGTGCATTGAAATAATCTGATGTGTTGTCTAGGCTTCCAGAAAAACTCCTTTGTGCTCAGGGAGAGGGTTTGTAAGTGCAGCTTCAGTACCTTTTCTCCAAAGAAAGGGTTACAGGAGGGAAAGACAAGACCTGATCGCCGGGTGGTGAACTGGAAGATGTTTTGGTGTGCCTGGTGTTTGTACCATTTCTGCCAATTTCTGTGAATTTTAAGTCAAGAACAAACTCCGCCTCTCTTTGCTCTGTTTTTTCCTTTTTTTTCCTTTCTCCCCTCTGAAATAATCCTTTCTTTCCAGAGCTGCTGGTACTGAATGGCACAGATCCTGTGGCAGAAGCAGCCATTCGGCAGCTGAGCGAGTCTGCAAAGCAGAAGCTGAAGTCTCCTAGAAAGAAAAGCACCATTATCATATCAGGGGTGTCCAAGGTAGAGCAGAAAACAACCCTTACATTATTATGTTAGGAAAAGCCTTTGCTCCACTGACTGTGGCATTAACGTGGGTTCTGCTGTCTCTGCAGAATCCAGGTCTGTGTGCCAGGTTGTTTCTGTAACTGTTTCAAGTTCAGCCAAATCAGGGTTTTGATTGTTAGTTTTGACAGCCTGACTAAAATGCAAGGTGTGCTTGGATGGGAGTGGAATGATTAGGGATTTGGGAGAACAAATATGGGTGAGAACAGAAGATAATCAGTCCTTCTCTGTGTTTCACCCATGTAGGGAAGATGCACAGAAAAAGAAAAAGATTTCTCTATTTATTTTTTTTTTTTTTTTGTTCAAAGCTGTTAAAACAAAACCCTCTGAAAAACCTCCTGGGCTCTGCTCCAGAGGGAGGGCAAACAAAAGACTGGTTTTCACATGGTATATAGCATTCCTCCACACTTTCTTCATCCACAGCCTCAGTGTCCTATTTGATGGCTGGTGCCTGCCTGTAGTCCTTTCCCTGCAGGTTGCTCCATGGATTTGTGCTGTCCAGTGTTGCTGTTGGGCACAAAACCTCTAAAGAGCTCTAAGTGAAAGTCAGATCAGTGGGCATGGATCCCCTCATCATCACTGTGCTGTGATGAGGGGGAAAAAGTGGATCAGCAGCCACAGTGCCAGATGTATCTGCCTGGGAAATGAAGGCACTGGGACTTCCTGGATTTGGTTTTAGCTGATACAGCTGACAGATCCTTCTATAAGATGAAATGCTTTGATGTTTCTTTTCTTGAAAGGACCAAAAGATTCTCTGTGTATGCTGATACTTCATTAGAGCAGCACATGCAGGAAAGAGTCCTATTGTTTGTAGTGGGGCCAGGGATAGGTGAGAGGCACGTATTTCATTTTTTTTTTTTCATTTATTTGGCCTTAACTACATGATTAAAACTTGGCTACGTGCTTCTTTAGCAAAGCTAAGGAAGCTTAAAGGGTCTTTATCTGATAGTCCTGAGCAATACAAGTATACAAGTGTAAAGAGGAGAAAATAACTTTTGCAGGGAGTCTTGCTTTCCTCCAGCAGAATGGCTTCTATCAGTGTTGTCTCTTATTTCCACTGGGCAGACCTCTTTATCTCAGGACAGTGAAGCTTCACTCATGATGGACTATGCTGCAGCCATGGACAGCTCCTGCAAAGAAGCAGATCCACCCCCTGTGGAGGAAGCTGTTGCAAAAACCACCCCTGATGAAAAGCTGTCAGTGGGCCCCTCAGAAACAGTACCTGACACTGGCCCACAGCACAGCACCCAGAAGGCCTGGGGTTTGGAGAATGGCAGCCAACAGTGGGACACCAGCACCCTCTTAGACCAGACCTCTGAAGAAATATCTGGGAGCTCACTGAGCGTTTCAGAAAGTGGGAGCATGAAAAAATCCAAAGGTACGTGATCCTTGCTTTCCACCTCAGTGACTGGCTGCTGTCTCTACCTAATTGGCAGAGTCAGGCAATGCTGTAGCAGTTCATCCTTTCTTGCTGATTTTTTTTTTTCCTTGAACTCCATGTGACTGTGGTGTTGGTTGAAGCTGTCTCACCAGCAGCACAAAGAGTGCAGTCCACTGCTCTTTGAGCCAGCTCAGGCTCTCTTACACTGCCCTCAGTCAGGAAACATAAGGGCAGCCCCATTACTAACATGAAAATGGCAGGGCTCACAGTTGCTTTTTATACATTCCTTCTCCTCCTTCACACCTCTGAGCTCAGGACTCCCCTCCTAAAGTGTGTGTTCAGGAAGCAGCTGAAGCAGAAGCTGCCTTGTGAACAGTTTCTCCCTTTTTCACTGATTTCATTAATACGTAGTTTGCTAAAGAAAATGGAACAAAAGGTAATTTAGTAAGTAAATAAAGCATCGGATCATTTTGCTTAGGTAGTTACACACCTGAATAGCTGCAGTTTGAAAGTGTCTTAGGATTCTTTGTGTTTCCTTGATAAATCCATTAACCTCTGAGCACTGGTTTGTGGGTATGTGGTATTAGGACTGTTAGGATGTCTGACACAAGGGCCAGTGCAGTGGACTGTGCCCTGAACAGGCACACACCAGTCTCATGGGCTGCACCTTGAAATTGAAAAAAATACTGTGTTTTTCACCCACATCCATCCTCCTTTTGCTTTATTATTTTCTGTTCGTTCCTTGCCCAGAGATCCTTACTACAAAACCTCACTATTTCACTTGATTATCACAAGCCCCCCCCACGCAGGGCAGACACTTGAGCCCTTTGTCAGGGCCCTCCCTTAAAACCTCGAGTTTCTCTGGGCTTCCCACAGCTGTATTGCTCCACATGAGAGATCAGGGTGGCACAGCAACAATCCGTGTCACATAGATGGTCAGGCACTGGAAAGTTTCGGGTGTGTTTGGGGTGAGGGTAGGGGGTTAGTTGTGAAGGGATTTGTCTCATTTTGGAGCCTGGAAGAGTTTAAGAAGCTGTAGGAGAGATTGCAAAACCTCTGGGCTCTTCTTTTGTTTTTCTAAAACAAGCAACTGCAAGTTTGTATGTGAGCTGTTGTCTAGTTCTGTTTTTCCCTGTGCTGTGTGTTGCAAAGAGATCAGCCTTCTAAAGAGCCTTTTCACACAGTGCAGTGTAAGGCTGCTAAAAACTGCAAAGTATCTCTAATTTGAGAGAGTTGTATCATCTTAAAATAATACTTTAAGAAAACTGGCTCAAATCCCTTTCTTTATACACAGATGTCTTTGTGGAAGTCTTGAATCTCCGCTTTGTCACAGCTGAGTAGCTTTTATAGAGTAAGATAGGAAAACATTCCCACCCCCCTGCCTTCAGTTAGCTGTGAACAGTTCAAGGTTTCTGTTTGTCAAATGCTTTCCCTTAAAAAAACAAACAAACAACAAAAACCCACAAACATATAAAACCCCTAACACAACAACAAAAAACCCAAACAAAACTGAAAGCCAACAAAACCCCTTCTGCTTTAAAAAGCCTTGTATCTGTATTAATGTCTTAAGGTTAGCACTGGGTTTTTTTTTACTCTTGCATATTTTTTGGTTTTTTTTTTACCTTTCTGACTTCCTCTTTCTTACCCATTCCCTTTTAAAACTTAAGAGGACTACTATGCCAGCCAGAATTAATTACCCACACAGTAAGTTGGTTTTGTGTATTTTTTTTCCCTAAGAAAATGTAGCTTTACAATGGGACACTCATTGTAAAAACTGAAGCAAAACATAGTTTGGCACCTGTTTTCTTCTTCCCCCATCCACTTCTTTCCTCCTTCCAAAATTACCTTCCTGTGCTCAAGTGTCTCAGCAGATTAGTCTGCTGTAGCAAATTATTCTTCTGGTGGTCATGCTGTTCAGGTGGGTCACACAGAAATCTCAGCAAGGAAGGCTTGGAGGGGTGCTCTGCATTCCTAATCTCTCTCCATTGTGCCCATTCCTGTAACGTCTGATAATCAGTCAAACTCTGCTCATGCAAACCACGTGTGACCCCATAACTGGATATACACGGGCAAAAAACTTACTTTAAAACCTGCTGCTTACAGTTTTCTAGGTAAAGCTTTTTTACCCTAACTTGCAGAGCTACCAGGGCCTCAGCAGGTATCTGCAGAACCACCTGTATAAAAGCTGTTTTGGAAGTTGGGAAGGAATGGAAAGCAATCTCTATTCATATCCTTGTAGATGTGAAAGGAAATCTTCCTTGATTAACAAAAGTGACATTCGGAAGTGATCACAAGCATTTTCAGCACACCCTGAGCTAGTGCAGAGGAGGCTGTGTAGCCCAGCCAGCTCATACAGTAAGCTCTCTGCTCATCTCCTGGTGTTAGGGGCAGAGCTGGCATATGGATCCTGTTGGACTCGAGAAGTGAGCATGCAAATATCACGAGCAATTGCCAAGCTGGGGATGTGCCCTGCCCTGCCTCCCTGGCAGGGCTGCATGACTCCACAGCAGCTGGAGCCACTGCCAGGCAGCACACACCAAACTGGTACAGACTGATGGGGATGTGGCAAGCTTCCAGACAGCCATGACCTCAGCACCTCCAAAAAACACAGGGAGCTTTCACGCCTGGGGGCTGCTGCTTGTGCTGAGCCTCGGGGAAGCACTGCCCATGATTTTTTGGCTGCAGTGAGTTGTCCCAGGCCACCCATTTTCGCAGCATTCTTGGTTCGGTTCTGACTCCTGGTGTGGAAAGTCAGTCTGAATCACAGAATGGATAGGACTACATAACTGCTTATGGATAAGCCTTTCTGTCCTGCTCCTGCTGGCACAGCTTCAGCTGCAGCTGCCAGGGCTGCTGGGCAGAACAGCTGCCTGCTCAAACAAGAGCAGCACAGCAGCGAGGCCTCGTGGATCCCCCCCAGCCTTTGCATATTAAATACAACTGTCAGTGCCCTGGGGTTGAACACTGCTTCTTTTATGCTGCTGACAACAGCTTGAAGTGGTGCTGCCTTGCCAAACAGATCGATCAGAGGGTGATGGGAGGGCAGTCAAGATTCAAATCCACGAGTTCCAGTTGCTTTCAGCTGATTTCTGCTTCATCCCTGTGAGAAGCATCTCAGCAGCCCGCAGGCAGAAAAACATGCTGGAATATCCTCCCAAGTGCTGAGCCCTTAAAGTAATAAACCCAAGCACATGTTTGCAAGTGCTCTGGTCTGAACAAAGCAACGTTTGGCTGCGTGCAGCAGAGTTGCCATGAAATACCTGTTCTGCAGCTGTCGCTGTGCAAAGTGACACAGGACCCGTGCTGGGTCCTTGGGGGACAAACACGTAATTCTAGCTGTGGCACAGCACTGCATGAAAGAACTGGTCTGTGTGTTGCTTTTTGTATCCATCTGCAATGGGAGGAAAAGCAGAGTCAAGACTGTACAGCTACAGGAATTAATAGCCGGGCTGAGAAAGAATGAGGAAACCTGATAGTGGTGCCGGGAACAAGGTGTGGAAGCTTTGCCAGGGAGATGACTGTCCTCACGTACTGGTCTGACTGCCAGAAGGCTCCTGTGTTGGCTTGCTACCTGGGTCCTCCTCTGTTCAAATTGGCTCCTGCCACCTGGGACAACACCAGCACCCAATTCTGCACCAGACTTTTCTTTTTAAACGTGGAGCTGTTGTCCCCACACCAGGTCGAGCGTTGCTGGTAGCCTGGAGAGTGTCCCTGCCAGCTGCAGCCAAGCTGCCTTGCACGTCAGGCACACGTGCACACGTGGAAAAGGAAGGTGGAATTCGGCAGAACGGCTGCAAAAAACAACCCAGGCTTGCAAAGAGAGGAATGCTGGTAGCTGGTGCTGGCAACATGAGTCCCTGGTGAGGTGACAGCTGCAGTTGCCTTGGCTGCATGCTGGGTTTGACATGGGATCAAGGGAAGGAATACAGCAAAATACAGCAACTTAATTTACCACAGAAGGGATTTGGGCAGATTGCTGAACCTGTTGGAAGCAGATGTAATATTATTTTTAATCTGCTTGAAGTAAGTTGCTACTCCTAACAGGATTTTAAAATAGCAAATGCTTCCTGAGTGTTGCTGTGGGTGGTGCTGTCGAATTTGTGTAGAACACCTGCTGCCTGGCTTCTCTAAGCCCACTGCACACAGGTTCAATGCCAGGTACTCTTCTCTTTCACCTCAAATTGAAATACCACCTTCGTGTGGTGTATCACAGGCCGATCTTTTCCTCCTTTGATCTCTGAAACAACAAAGAGTAGTAACATTACCTCCTCTATTCCATTCTTTTTGTAAAATGCTTTCTCCCTTTATTGGTTGGAAGGGTTGACTCTGCCTCTTGGACACGTGAGAACCCAGTGTACAACCCACACCAGTGGCTGTGCATGTGTGTATGACCACTAATGCAGCTTTCAGAAGGGCATTGGAAACTAAGGGTGTGTAAGGAAGGAAACTTCCACAAGATGTGTGGATTGACTTTAGAAGCTGAAATCAAAGGTCAGCTTTGTTTAGTCAGGCTGCCACTGAAGCTGAGCTTCAAAAGGGAAAGCAGCCTGTTCTTTCTCAAGTGTCCTTTTTTTTCCTTCCCACAGGTGGGATTCTGAAAAAAAGCGCGAAGCTCTTTTTCCGCCGGCAGCACCATCAGAAGGATCCAGGAATGAGCCAATCCCACAACGACCTCGTGTACCTGCAGCAGCCCCTGTCAGAGGAGAGCCGCAAGAAGGGAGGCACCCTGTCACGAATCCTGAGCAGGAAGCTGCTTTCCAGAAACAAAAGCAAGAGCAAACTGAACGGTGCTCCGGGAGAACCGTACATATAAGACCGGACCCTCTGTGCTGGGATACTTGCACATCAGTTGAGCATTTGTTTACAGAGCAGTGCTAGAGAGTACAAATATGGCTGATGACTCACATAAAAGGATGTTCACTAATACAGTGGTCTTCTTTCGTTTGTTTTACCAAAACGCTTTTTCTCTCTGATGATGAAGTTGCTCCTCCAAATGCAAGCAGTGCTACATTAATCGTGAAGGCTCTGGAGAACCACGTGGTTTATTGTGGAAGATGAGGGAGGATGGGGAATGGTGCAGGTGGGGACCAAGAAGGCTACTGGTATCCTGGAATACATCAGGAAGAGCACTGCCAGCAGGTCCAGGAAGGTGATCCTGCCCCTCTGCTCAGCCCTGGGAGGCACATCTGCAGTGCTGTGTCCAGTCTGGGCTCCTCAAGACAGGAGGGACATGGAGCTCTTGGAGCAGGTCCAGAGAAAGATGCAGAAATGCTGAAGGGATGGAGCATCTCAGGAAAGGCTGAGGGAGCTGGAGCTGTTCAGCCTCCAAAGCTGACCCTGAGAGGGGACCTCCCCCAGGTCTGTAGGGTCTGCAGGGAGGGGGCAGAGGATGGACCAGGCTCTGCTCGGGGGGCCCAGCAATGGCACAAGAGGAACGGGCAGGAACTGATGCCCAGGAAGTTCCACCTGGGCATGAGGAAGAACTTCTTTGCTGGGCAGTGACCCAGCCCTGAACAGATTGTCCAGAGAGGGTGTGGAGTCTCCCTCACTGGGGATATTCCAGAACCATCTGGACACAATCCTGTGCCATGTGCTCTGGGATGACCTGCTGGAGCAAGGAGGTTGGACCAGATGACCCACTGTGGTCCCTTCCATCCTGACCCACTCTGTGGGCAGGACCCACATGTGAGCACCTGGTTTACATTTAAGGGGAGCTCAGAACTGAAACATTGTCCCTGGGTTATGTGACTGAACCACTACAGAGAGAGAAGACACCACTGTGCTCCCTCACTGCAGCCTGCAACAGTAGCAATGCAGGGCTCAACTGATTTTTCTAGTCAGGCTGAAAGGGAAAAAAAAAAAGAGAGACCCAGATCCAGTTTGTATTGTAATGTGGAAACGGGTAAGTTTTCAGAAGCAGAAGGAAAATGCTGATTCAGATATCCTACTGTAATAACTGTAGCCTGCTGTAATAACTGCTCGGTCCATGTAGGTGGAGAGATACCTTTGATATTAGCCATAAATCAATAAATTATGCAAATATCTGTACTAGCATATTGTTTAATGTTCTGTGCAGAATTTATGCTTAACAAAACAGAACTTTTTTTTTTTTTAAAGTCTACCTGAGTCTACTCGCAAACAACACATTTACCAAGTCTTATATGTAGCTTTCCTTCCCTGTGTGAGAAGCTGCACTGCTGATGCAAAAACCTGTCTTAGGGGCTCTAATTCCTTCTCCCAATACTTGTTAGACAAGTATATTAACCATCATATCAAATGCAAAGCTAGGAGCAATAAGTGGTGAATAGAGCATAGTTAACCCTACAGTGCTTTTCATTAGACAGCCTGTTTTACTTGCCAAACACTTACTGAGACCTTAGAAAACACAGTTGTGAAGAAAGCTTTTGAAAAAATAATAACAATTCCCTTAGTTCAGTTTCAGTTCCTAGGTCTGCCAGTGTTGTCATGTGGTGAGTGGTTTCTCCTTGTTAAATATTGCAGCTGGCTCCTTTAAATTAAAATGAAAAACTGCTGGAAGTAAAGGCATGGTTCTTGTTTTGGCTATCAAGAGTAAAATGTCAGTCTTTCATAGGTACCATCTTTTGTGCTTACCTGTACTTTTCCATGATCTACATTCCTGCTGAGGACAAAGGACCAAGCCTGTTCTCTTTGGCCAAGAAAAACATCCATTCATTCCATCTAAATTACTGAAATGAATGGATGATAGATTGGTGCCTACTTTGCCAATAGTGATTTTCCCCCGGCCCCTTTCCTCCCCTTAAGCTATCCCAACTCTTTGGCAGATATTTGGGCTTTCAATTTAAACGATTCATCAAAAATAGAAAGTCACTGAGGAACAGAAACATTTCAACATTTCAGTCTGATGGACTCAAGATTCTTTGGTAAATACTCGTACGATGAATATCAAAGTAGAGGGGGGTTGGTTTCTTTTCGACCAGGAAAATATTGGAGGAACTGTCAGAACTGTCAGAATCTTTTAACTGTGTAAAAATACTGTTTATGTGTAACCTCCAAAAATCACTGTGGTAGTACAGCAGACCAGACTATCAAATAGTTGTATGTTTAAGGATGCTGCTTGTCATGAAAACGCTTGAAGGCATTTTAATGTCCTGTATTTTGAAAATTGGTTACAAATGAATCTTCTAGAGCTGTAATGTGCTTAGAAATCCCAGTTCAGTAATACAGGCTTGTCCAGCTTGAATGTGCTTGAACACTTTTGTTTATTGTTAATTTACTACAGAGTTGGTTTCATCATTTGTTCTACAGTGGTTCATGGTATGAGCAGTAAAACCCCTGATGTCCTGTTCTCTAAACATACATCTTTTCCCTTGATTTTACTTGGAGCTCTCTGCATGACAGGGCAGGGTGGGGGTCAAGTCCCTGCCACATTTAAATGCTCAGTCTTGTTTGCTGAAGGAGAAAGCCACAACTGGTCTCTCAGTTGAAGAAATCAAACTGAGCTCCATGGGTAGCAACACCCTTACCCTAAAAACAGAGACCTGTGGAACTGGGAATGCAGAAGCAGTAACACTGCTTGAAGTCTTGCTGAAGTTACTGAACTGGGATTTTCATTCACAGGAGCTTTAGCTTGTGCTGTAGAACAGGGTGGAAATAACACTGAGTAACTTACAGAATACAGGAGTAGGGCTTGCTCCTAGCCTACCCCAAAGAACAGATACACACTGAAGATGTGATTTTTTTGGTTCCTCTTAAGGCCTTAGTGATCACCTAAATGCTTGTCTTGATGGTGGGAACCAAGAACATTCTATACTACAAAGTGTGTGAAGGTCTGAGCTCACATGTATGGAAAGACAATGAATTCTTAAGAAGAGGAAAGCAAGGCATTTGGGGTAAAAAGGGAATCTTGTTTTTTTTTTTACTTGCCTTCACTCCTCAGGAAAATAAACATCGTTTGGTTTGATGAACTGGCTGGTTCTATCTATATCTGGCTGGTGTGTTCCTCACCTCTTCCTACTCCCCTGCAAATAACTTATGTCCTGTTGTAAAAACAAGCTGAGGTACTAAACACAAAGGGGCAATTGAGTTGCTCAGTCTTGACAACCCCAAAGGCCCAGAATATTGAATCCCATTCCCCCCTTCTGAGACAATTAGGTTGTCATTTAAGATCAGGAGATCTGAGGATGTACATTTTTGGGGTACTAATATTTAGGTCAGTGTGAGCTGGATCCTGACAACCAGTGGTATCTACACTGCTGGTTTGGGTCAGGAGAACTGGATGTGTCAACTGGCACAACTGACATGTCCTGCATGTGTCCTGTGCAGTTGTGTGAAGGATGCCAGAGGGAATCACTTTGCTTTTTTATGTTTTGCCATCTTCATGATTTTGATAACTATGCATTTGAATAGTAGATGAAATCTCTACAGAATATTATTACACTGAAGACTTCTTGTTTTCTGCCTTCCAGTTTAATTGTGTCAGAACAATAGCTTGGAAACAACCTGTGAAAATACTTTTTCCTTTTTGTCCCTTTTCTCATAATTTTGCATTTCTGGATGTTCTGTACAGCAAAGGTGGCATGGTATTTATTTTATGAGGACTAAGAGATGAAGGCTGGCTTTTTCTTTCTGAAGAATTTTTCTGCCCATAGTTGAACCTTCTTAATCAGTGTTTGTGGCTTGTTTTGCTTTATGGTGTTTGAACTTTTCATTTGCCTCGATGGAGACAGCCTACATCCTTCCTAACCAAGATTTGCCTTGGCTTTAGTGTGAATTTTGGCCAAGTAAATAGGACAAGAATTAAATTTCTCTTTGTAGATTAAAGCAATAAAACTGCCTAATATCTCCAGGGTGGATACAAGCCAGGTAACTTTTTAAAAGTGACTGAGATCACTTTCAGAGTCACTTTGCAGAGAAGGGGGGCCTTCATCCCTAGGTCATTGCTATTTCATCCCATTCACTCCAGGAAGAAATGACAGTCATTTCACTCCTAACAATATATGAAATTTGTGAATCTGAGGTGGCAGGAAGGAAGAGGAATGCCAGAGTGGAAAGAAGTTCATTTTAAAAGCAAATCACCTTTGGCAAACTTCTTCAGCTTAATGGACAGGTCATACACCGTGCAGGCATAAATACTGGGCTTTATTCTTATGCTGTCAGATTTTCTTTTTTCTCTGCTCTTTCTTTGGGAGAGAGGTTGGGGCTCCAGGCCATATATAGACCTAGTTACTGTCTTGCTCTTGAGAGGACTTGGCTCACTGCACTGCTTCTTTTGAGGAAATTGCCTGACAATTACACCAGTTTTGGGGATCAGTGAAATTTTACAGCCTTTCCTAGTGCTGCATCTCCTCCCTGGTCTTGGTGGTTTTCAAGTGAAAGCTTTCTGCTGTGTATTTCTTGTAAAGTTCTGGTGTTCTTCATGTGCAGAGTATCATAGGAAAAAGCAAAAGTCGACTACATAAAATGCTACCAAATGTGGATGGGGAAGCAAAATAAGAATTTTGCTCTTCTATCACCTTTTTCAGCTCTGGTAGCTCTTGGTTACAAGGAGCAAGAGCTCTATCCAAGGTGAGAGCTGCCTGGGTTTTTCACTTCAGTTTATTGCAGGTTTTGAATTGTAGAGCTGAAGTTTGAGACAAGTGCTTATCCTGGTACAGAATTAAGTATGCCATAGCTCCAGGCTAAGACATTCCTGCTGTGAGTGGGAACAGCTGACCTCATGCTTTGACCTCCACAGGATCTAAGTGGATTTATTCATGTGTTTAAAGTCAGCATATGCTTCTGTACATTGCTAAGCCACAGCCTTGGTGACAAACAACTCCAAATTAATTATAAAACAAGGGTGATTGCTTTAAGTTAAGGGTGAATAATACCACTTCACTCAGGATATCCAAACTGCTACTATGCAAGGTGCTGGCATGGTGTGAAAATTACTGGGAAGGATGGATCTGGAGTCTTTCCAGTACTATAACTCTGTATTTTCCGATAGTGTATTCTGCTCTGATATTCCAGGGGGGGTAAAACATTTTTTTCTAGCATCAAGTTGTGATGGTCACTTCTTCTGTGGTGTTTGTTTTTTTTCTTTGTGTACACGAATTTAAGTTGGTGCAATTAAGAAATATACGATGTACAGATTTATTATATCATTAAAAAAAAACCTGAGAAGAGGACTTTTTTAAAGAAGTAGCTGCTGCTGTACATACAATAAAAGCCTATTGTCT